AAAATTTAATGTCCACCGACACCTTTTGTGGACTTAAAGCCTTTTGAAATCTAAAGCCTATAAAGGGGAAGGGGCACCTCTTATCTAGACATCTCTCGAAGTTTACCCCTTTAAGTTTTCCTTATTTCAGAGTTCTCTACCTCTCTCTCTTTGTAAAATACTATTATATATTTGGTAGTGTGTCACCAGCTGTCGCCTATAGTCCTTCTACGATCCATTGTTCTCTACAACTGTTATGTAAGTCTTTAATTTTCACTATAATATATGGAGTGTTTGTATTATCGCGCATATGTTTAGCTTATCATTTATGCTTCCGGGTTTTCAAATAGTCTTGTGCTTATCATAGTATCAGAAGCCAAGTTTGAGGAAAATTAGTTGTTTAGGGTAGTAATTTAGCTTAAGGAAGTTAAGTGACAAAGTCTCACAAACAAAGTCGCAGTGAGCCTAGAACCCTGTAAGACCTAGAAGAGGCAAGATAGGGGTTATTTCATGTTGACTCGTCATAAAGCTGAATTAAGAATTAGTTACTATCTAAATGGCAAAGTTTTTGAGATCTTTGTCTCATACCTCTAGTAGTACCTCATCGTCATCATCTTTTTCTAATTTGCTGCGTGTTAATAATAGTACTAAGGTGATTATCAAAGATATTGAAAAGAAATTAAATAATTGAAATATACCAAAGGTAGCAATTAAAGATGTATATCATAAAGGCACTTTTAGTTTTAAGACCGATTATGTCATAAAAACTGTTGAAAAAAAAATACTTGTTAATGAGTCTCCTAATAGGTTCAAGTTATTATCAAAACACATGTTAAACGAACATATAACTATATTCATATAGGATTGATACAAGTAGGTATTAAACCATTAGTAAGAACTACACACCTCAGTCTTCTTATCCCTAAGAGATTGCAGGCATAGAAGGTTTGCATATTCCTTATTAGGAATCATTGAGTCCAGTTTAAGTGATGGGCTAATATATTTTAACTGCTTCCCTAATTTTTCAGTCTCATTGGCTCATAAAATGTCCTCAAAGTTTTAAACTTAAATCTTAAAACTCAAGGATTTAATATGAAATTGGTTCACAGAATCTGGCTATTGTATACATGATTTGTTATAAAGCCATGATAACTATCTGTCATGATGTGAAAAGGATAGATGAAAAAGGACATACAGTCTTTTTTCCAAACGAATATTGAGAAATCCAATCTGATAGGTCCTAGGACTATCTCTTGGAATGAAATTAGACTACCTGAAAGGTGGAATCTACATGAGGAGATTCCTCCTCAACCTCTTGAAAATAAAGATGTAGAACACATAATTTAATATTCGAATGGGGAAGTAGAAATACACTACTCCTCAACTTCTTGAAAATAAAGATGTAGAACATATAATTGAATATTCGAATGGAGAAGTACAAATACAATTTAACCCCTTAAAGTAGACAAGGATCAATTTATCGGATGTGCTTCCTTGAATACCAGCCAGGGCTTCATATTCCTTAGTTGCCCCAGACTGATTATGAAAAAGAACATTATAATATTATTCTTGAAGAGTAAGAACGACCCCATAATAGGTCCAAAGACCTTACTATAGGGTAGAAACTTTAGGGTCCTCAAACCAGGAACCTAAGGCCCCTACATCTCCTACGTTCTCTGATATGAATTTAGTGCAGCCTTCTGTCCCAAAAGGCATTTGGGATTTCAGAGCATACTTCATATTCTAGTTTTCTTTGGAAAATATTTATTTCCCTTAAGTTTTGGATTTTTTAACTTTTCTTCAATATTTTTGTATTTAGTCACTTCTTTTAGAGAGCAAAAACTTTTCTTTCCCTTCTATTTGATTTTTAATAAGTTTTATGTCAGTATTTTAGATTTATCAATAAACTCAAATTTAACCTTACATCCATCAATTTTATGATTCAATTGTTGTTTCATCGAGTCTTATGGAAACATCATATTTAAAAATGGTGTTCCAAGTATTATTGGTTGACTTAAATTTTTAACCATAATTTATAAAATAAAATTTTTTAGGCAATTTTATGATTCAATTGCTGTTTCTTCTGTATAATTAAAATTATATTTGCTTGAATTCAGCCAGTTTTGTCCCAAAAGAATGTTTGGGTGGCTTTGATTTATATAGCCCTTACAATTTTTAATGAATAAGCCCCAAAATTCTCTATTGTATCAACTATCAACATTATCTATTTTTGTTTCTCCATAAATCAACACGTAGTTTGCATGGCTAAATTGATATTGTTCAATCAAACTTTTCACTTGTTTCTTGGCTTTTATTTATTTATTTTTTGGTGGAAAGGTTTAAGGGTTGGCTCTTTTCCCGGCTGTGGATTGTTAACAAAGTGCACAACGTCCATATATTCAAGACGCTCGCAAAGTGCTCAATAAAATTCTCAGTAGAGTCAAGTCATTAGCAATGCTCAGCAACATTGCCTACTTCACACATATTTGGTGATCAATTTTTTTTTTTTTTTATCATTTTTACTATGCTATATTGTAACTATGGAAATAAATTGCAAAACATCCAGCAACTTGATTTCTTTCTTTGATTATGGCCATTATACTATGCTACTCTCGGTATGAATTTCCACCATATTTTTGCATTTGTTATTGTAATATTGAAAGTCTACAAAACATCAGTGGATATTTTTCTTCTTGACAAGCTAAATGGCTTAATGGGATTACATAGGACTTGTTGGCTCAACTTAATAAGCTTTAAAATGCAACAAGGCAAAAGTTTAAAGAGAAACTGGACTTTGTTATCTTATTCGCTTTGGAGAGAGAATACCAATTTATGATTTGTGATAGAATTTTCATTGAGATTCCTTGGAGGTTATATATTTAATAATGTTGCTTTTTTCAGATGTTGAATTATTAGTTAATAGCATCCACTACTTAGGATTTGGCTCTTGCAGACCATTGTGTCTCGGGATGCTTGATGTTTGTTTTACCTGTCAGGTTCATACCTACAGTCCTTTGGCATTTAGGGTTCTTCAACCCAATCAAGGGGAATTTGTAATGACTAATGATGAAACCGTTTTCTAAGTACTCGTCTTTTTCATATATTCTCGCGGCTTTACATAGGACAACTCATTTTCAAAAGTAATCTTGTGGTTTTTAAGAGTATTTCTGATATTGTTTTTTCTTTGTATGCTTCATATGCCACAATACGACAAGTAAATAATTTCTTTTCACAATCGGTTAATTTTTGGAAAAATTATAAAATACACCCTAAAATGAACTATCTATGCAACTTACCCCCACCGTAATGTTCTTTCACGCTTTTTCCCCCAAACAATCTTTCCTCGCAAAAATCCCCCCAAGGTAAAAAGTTCTTAATTTTTGGATGGAAATGCCTTTCTAGTACAAACCAAATCAATTCGCGATCCCAAGTAGAGTAGTGCCGGAGCGCAGTATACTACTGCCGGAGTGGAATGGCAAGAAGCACTGCTGAAGCGCGGTGCTACATTGCCGGAGTCCGTATTTTCAGTGCTAGAGCGTGTTCTCAAATTATCGGAGTGGACTGCCGGAGCGTGCAATATCACTGCTGAAGCGCACTTCTCAGTATGCTGGAGCGATGCGGGCCAGACAAAGCTCTGCCGGAGCGCACAATGTGACTGCCGGAGTGCACACTTGGACTGTCGGAGTGCAGTCCTCCATTGCCGAAGCCGAAGGCCGTGTGAAAAAAAACAAGAGAGAGAAGGCCGTGTGAAAAGAAACGAGGGTATTTTAGTCTTATTTTATGTTACTTTTGGGTTGGGGGGGTTTTTGCGAAGAAAGGGTGTTGGGAAAAAAAAGTGTGAGAAAAAATTGAGGTGGGTTAAGTTGCGTAAATAGTCTATTTAAAGATGTATTTTGTAATTTTCCCGTAATTTTTTACAGGTACACAAGTAGGCCCCATATAGAAAGTCCTACCATTAGGACTATTCTTGACTGCATTTTGGGGCAGTAAACAATTTTGGGCAGCATATTCTTGGCACAATATTGCCGCAATATTGGAGCAACAAAAAATTTTGAGCAGCACTATTCTTGGCACAATATAGCTGCAATTTTGGGCAGCAAACAATTTTAGGTAGCACTATTCTTGGCTGCAATTTTGGGGCAGCAAACAATTTTGGGCAGCACTATTCTTGGTACAATACAGTTGCAATTTTGGAGCATCGTACAATTTTGGGCAGCACTATTCTTGGCACAATATAGCTGCAATTTTGGGGCAGCAAATGCTCCTTTGTTTGGGAATTTATTGAACAACTAATTTGAGCATATAGATGCAATTTGTTGTGATTAAGTGAGAACAAGTATAAGTTGGAATGTGGATGCAATATTGAGGTTGTGCATCAAATGTAATGTGACTTCTTGATTATACGCAATAGATAAGTTACTGTTCTTTGGCTACTTATTTTTCTCCTCATAGAGATTTGAAGGCGTATCATAATGTCTTACACTGTTTTACGCATATATGCAGTTCAAGGAACTAAGAAACTGTCAATTTCTTTGTTGTGTGTTGGTTTCACAGAAAGAGAGAGAGAGAGCGAGAGAGAGAGAGAGATCAAAGCATTCATTGGTTGCAAATGCAATAATAGTATGACCACTATTAATACTGCTAGTATAAAATTTAAGCACTATGATTACAACATGTGGAAATACCCATTGGTACATAGATTACCCATATCTTGTTAATTGTAATTTTGCTTGTAGAGATTGGAGGGTGAGCTCAATATGCTTTATATTGTAGTTCAAAGATACAAACACTCTAAGAATTAGGATTCCCACAAGGTATCAATTTTTGTTTTGTATCAGAGAGAGAGAGAGAGAGAGAGAGAGTTGAACAAAATTAGTAATTTCTTCCATCGAGTAATTCTCGTAGTCCATTTTTGCATCAAATCCTATTAACAGACAAAAGCATTCACATGTATCATGATTTGCAATTTGTGTGTGTGTCTGTGTGTATGAGTGTGGAGCAGGGAGGGTGGAAGAGAGAGATTGCCATTAATACTGCTCATATAAAATTTGAGCAATTGCATTGCATGTAGATATACCCATTGTCACCTCCTAGAGATTCACAATCGACTAGGGTCATACAACAAGTTACATGTATCTACTTCCATTAGAAGACTTTTATTCTTCTATACAAAATAAATATTACATATGGCTCTCTTTTGTACTTTGGATGTCAAGTGCATATCTTCTTGAGCTTTGTACTCTGAGAAAATAACTGAAAACTTTGCTCCTCCAAATACTTTTGATAAAATAGAAGCTTGAAGAATCTTTCACAATTGATACAATCTTGAATTTGAAACTTTAAATGCCAAAACAATATTAAGCACTTTGACTGTCACAAACTATTGCACTCATTGATGCATCCATCTTCACTGTTCGTCTGCAAGTAGGCCATAAACATGATATATGTGAATGCTCTCTCTCTCTCTGGGAACACAGATAAGCATTTGAAAATCATGTTTACCATCGCAGTACATCTTTGGCTCCATCTTTACCTTGGTATGATCTAGAACCTCTACTGCAAATTTTATTGAACACTTTGAGGGCACAATAAGGAAAATTTCAAAAATGTGCAAAATCCAATGCATAAAATTCTCAATATTCCAACAAAAAAAAAGAAAAAACGAAGAAGCAAAACAAAGATAAAAACATGTCTAAAATTTTTCTATTGACTAAATTTAATGCCTTTTTTTTTTTAATATATTTGATAGAAATAGTATGTCATCCAAATTCAAACTCTAACCCTATGGCTGCCACAATTTCATTCAGATAATTAACACTTGCACTATAAATTGCAAAATACGGCAGTTTAGAATGAAATCCACAAATATATTGATTTTTCTTCCAAATTTATTTTTTGGGTTTCTATTGTTTCAGGCCAAGAAAGACCTCTATCCCCTCATTTGGGTTTTCCTTCTTTTAAACCAAAAAAGCCCTGTATACTCTGAAACGGTTAAAGAGAGAGTGTTTATAAGAGGAATGTTTGCAGGGAAAAGAGTGGCTAATTAAACCATTAGAAAAAATGGTGCACAATATGGGGACTCATACCAAGATTTTTGCTGGAGGGTCCGCAATGCAACACAAAGAGATACCATGCGACATTACTTCGAACAGTTTGGAGAGCCATAAGAGGTTGTTGTGATCACTGGTAAAAAACACAGATTTTTTCCAGGTAGAGTTGGTCAGCAAGATTAGAGAGAATGTGTAGAAAGAGAAAGATGGGAGAATTCAAGATCATAGAGAGAGATGGGGAAGCGTGATGCTAGAGAGAGAGGGTGGTTGTGAAGGCAAAGATTTGAGATAGGGCTGGAGGGAGTGGAGTAATCCAAAATCTAAAAATTTCCCTTTTGTTTTAAAAAAAAATTTAACGAATAGTCAAAAATACCTTTTTAATTGATCTTTAACATTTAAGAGCAGGAAAAAGTTTTATACATACTCGAGGCTCTAACCAATCAAATTAGAGCCTATCTCAAAAATTTCACTAGAAGGGGTTTTTTTCGGTGCCCAAATATCCTCAAATTGATCATCTCCACATCAAGATGCATTGACATGAGAAAAAAATTAATTTCAAGTTTTGAAAATAGTGCATCTTGTAATGCATTTTTAGATATTCAATTTTAAGATTTTTAAGTTTTTATAGATCTCCTCAATTTATTCTATGTTTTAAAGTTTAAATTTTATAATTAAAGATGGAAATATATTTTAAGGCTATCATAAAGATTTTTAGTATTGAAAACACATTTTTCGATACTATTTGAAAGTAGGATCTAATTTGATTGTTTTGAGCCTGGGCTCTATACAAACTGCACCCGAGAAGAGAATAAGCACAACAAAGGTAAAAAGACTAAGGGAATCTATCTTTAACCCATATTATTTGGGGGCTTGTTGTGTTAGCCTAACATACATATATATATATATATATCATGGGAGCCATCAGATCTTCATCATATGATTCAGAATGTATATCACCGTATGAATTTTAATTTTTTTTTTCAAATCTGATTAAGATGAAATTTTGGATGTATATACCTAATACTATTGCGCACCATATAAAAAATAAAAAAATTATTTTTAATAATTTTACATGACCAAATTACCTTTGTTATTTTCAGTGGTATTTTGTTCATTTTATATTTTGAATTTTTTTTTTTTAATTGTGCACCCTATGTTTTAGTACACACGTCTAAAAATTCATTGTGATCCAATTTCTAGAAAAAATATTAAAATTCATTTAGTGATATGCATTCTAAACCACATGATGAAGATTGGACAGCTCTCATTCTACATATACTACTATTCATTATAGCTGTCAAGCTATCGTTAGTTTTTTCCATATATATATATATATAATAGAATGGGGAAAATTACGTAAATATTTGTTTTATTTTTCATTAGCACAAAAATATCTAATACTTTTCATTATTACACGTATGCCCGTTTTTTTAACTTTATAATAATTTTTTTAAAAAAAATATGAGACACTCATTTTCAGTTTTTCAAAAATTAAATTTTTTAAAATTTTGGTAATTTCGGTTTTCAAAAACCAAATTTATTTTTTTAAACTTCATAACAATTTATTTTCAAAATTATCATATTTTTTGTTTTATATAAACCTAAAACTCGTATTCTACAATCCAGTAACTTCAAGATTTCTATTTGAATTAACACGATTTACAGTTTTTCAAAAATAAAAAAACTTCTATTTTCAGTTTTCTCAAAAACCGAATTTCTAATGTTTTCGGTTTTTCACATATTCTACATTTGAGTAACTTTATGTGTTGTGTTTTAATTATACACGATTTTCGGTTTTTCAAAAACCAAAAATAGATTTTTGGTTTTTGAAAAACCGATATTCTAATTTTTTCAGTTTTTTAAAAACCGAAATCCGAGTAACTTTATTTTGTTACTTTTATGCATGTTTTCTCTGATAGATGGTTTTGTATAAGGAAACTTTTTCAGTTCATGAAGTTATCTTCAATTGTGTTTACAAAAAATACGAAATTTTGTATACAAATTGGAAACGTCAAATGGTCATCAACCACAACAATTGATTGACTGTAAACAATATTTGCCTGTAAGCTGCTGTACAAGACGGGCTTATAAGCAGTGGAAGCAAAATGCATTTTTATAGAGATGGTTGCATTGCTGATATAAACAAAAAAACTTTATTCTATTTCAATGCACAATTTTCCTGATGTTGCATTCCTCAATATCACTTGTTTTTCTGGCAACTTATAAATCATGTACACTTTGTATGGAATTTTAAGCTAATGGAGTTTTCGGTTAGAATTGAAAGGATTCTGCAAATATTTGCGTGTGAGAGTTGTGAGAGAGGTAAGACATAGAGAGAAAAAACTGTAGAGAGAAGAGAGAGGAGCCCCAAAAGTTTGTGGTGAGAGAAAAGCACGGTTCAAAGCAGTTAAATGGATGTAGCTTAATTTTGGGTTTTTAAAAGCTGAAATAATGTCCATTTCGATTTTTGAAAAATCGAAATTGGACAGTTTGGTCTTTCTAAAAAATAAGGTTGCGAAGTCAAAATAACATGTTGATAACAACATAAAAGAAAACGGATATTTATATGATTTTCCCCATATAATAACAAAAATGAAATGTCGCATGTCAATTGTCGCCTGTGTTACACTCTTCAAAAAAATAAAACAAAACAACGTGGCCTGTGTTGGATCGGAATAAGAAATATGGTGCTATCGACAGAGTTCAGGGACCAAAAGCCCAAGCCTGGTTCTCTTTTATGTGAAAGTAAAGTCCGATGCCTTTTCATCTAGGGGTTATCTCGATGGGGTACAATAAAAAAAACTAAGTTTTATCTAAAAACTAAGTTTTTTTTAAGACGACAATTTTAAACTTAAAGTTTAAGTATATGATGTTTGCATAACACCATGTGAGAATCCAAGTTTATATTTCTACTGCTCGAATTCACTTATTTGGAAATCTCATTTATTTATTTGAGATGCAACCCTACTTATTCATATTTAAACAAGCCTTATTTTTCCAGAAAAAGTATCCAATAAGACCATTTACAGGTATAAGAAGGTTATAATATTAGATGCAAAATCAAGTGGCATGGTGTACTATTGATTAGATTCAAAATCTCAAACAAAATTTCTCATGCTTTATCATTCAGTCTAATATATCAATTTTCACATCTGATGTATAAAGGAAAGTTGTGATACTGTTGTTCCAAGATAAAATAGTTTTATAATATACAATCCCATTTTTCAAGGTATAATAGACATAAGTAAAATGTTGAGGATGTCTCACTACATAGATTCGAGAATGTCAAAATCAACGTGAACAGTAGATACAAGTACAAAAATTTCCTAATCAATGCGTGTTTATTTAGAAAAATGAGGAAATTATTTGTTAGGAATCCAGTATGATTTTGACGCTGCTGCCAAATGTAATTTAGAAGTTATTCGATAGGGAATCCATTATGGTTTGACGTTGCCAAATATAAGGACTTTTTACCTAATTGGAATTGATTCAAATGCTTAGGTTAGGAGGCAATTACGAAGAACATATTTTTGAAAGCCATATATTGCTGTTTGAAAATCATTGATCTCGATAAGGAATCTCCAATCCAAACCGTGCCACTTATTGATCAGAATCGATGGTTTGGTTATTATAAAATAAAACATATATATTTCTATATAACATAGGACGAAATACTCATGCTACACTAAACTGGACAATTTGATTTAGCTTGAAACAATCCAAAATATTTATATAAAAATAGCATATTAAAAATGTCACAAATCATGATAAAAATAATGTAAGACAAAGGAAAAACATAAAAATAGCATATTAAAAATTTCAAAAATCAAGATAAAAAAAATGTAAGACAAAAACATATGTTTCCATCATTTATTAGTCCTTAAAAAAAATTACATTTCAAAACCCATGTTAATAGTCCAGAGTTTACCTTAAAAAACTCGCCTCTAATCCGAGTCGGGACAAAGCTTTTTAACACAGGGTTGAACTTAAAGTTGTCAATGAGACGCTAATTTTTCAGGCTCTAAGAAGGTCAAGGCAGTGTGCATGCAGGAGAGAGGGAAGGAGGCAGTTTTGTCCAAAAATTGAGTACCTCTTTACGGTGTTACCCCCAACACTAGGATTTTGCCCTCATGTGAGTGTCCACACACCAACACATGGGGTACATAAATTGTTCCTCCATGTCGACCCTATTAGAGCTCTGAAACCTATTTAGCAATGCCATGTTTATAGTAGTTGCAAAGCTCGGGCTTATGCAATGTAATGAATGTAGAAGAGCTCAATTTTGAAGGCATAAGAATGATAGAATGAACTTCCTCTTTCAGCAGTTCAAGGAGGACAAGATGATGAGAGAGAGAGTTGAGCAAGGCGATGCTAATTTTTCACTCTCTAATAGTTTAAAGGGAATGAGTTTGTATGGAGAAAGAAATGGGTGGGGGTATTTTGATCCAAAAATATTATTCACCACCCATTGCATTATTGCCTTGAACTTTGGAGGTTATCTAACGCGATGTTTGAGTACCTGGAAATCTAGTATATGAAAATAGATTACAAGAAAATATGAGATGTTTGGGTACCTGGAAATCTAGTACATGAAAATAGATTACAAGAAAATATGAGATTTACACTGTTTAGGTATAAATGAAAATAGATTACCTAAAATTTTCCAAAAATCATGAAACGCATAATGTACAAATCTATACGGGTAATCTATTGTGTGCATTTTTTAATAAAAAGAAAGCCTATCTCCTACTATAAACTCTCTCTTTCTATCTCTTATCTCCCTCTCCCCCTCTCAAATCCAATGTCCAAATGCTGCTGCTCTTAACTCTGCCCCAAAATTAATTTTCTGGCAATTTTTTCAGGCAGATTCTAGGTAAGACATTGATTGATTTTTTTTTTTTTTTTAAATCAGAATTTGGTAATATTATTTGGAGGAATTTAGGTGAAGATTGATCTTAGTATTTGACGATCTATTCTTCTTCTTCTTCCTTTTTTTTTTTTGGAATTAGTGGTGAATGTTGGATTCTCTTTCTAAGTGAATTGGGAATATTGAATTATGTTTAAGTTTTTATTGAAGAATATTTAGTCTTTTATGGGAATTTGGTGGTGATCTTTTTATTTCTGTGAATTTATTTATCGGATTTAAGGGTTTTGGGGGCTTTTTATGAGTATGAACGATTTTTTTTATTTTTTATTGAGTTTCTTCTGATCTTGTTTACAGTGAAAATACCTATTTATTTATTATTTGTTTTTTGTTTTAAGCAAATTGGGCTCGTAAGAATTCTTTAAAAGAAAGATAATTTTTCTTTATTTGTTTTTATTTGATTGAATTTCTTATTTTTCGTTTGTACTAATTACAGCA